TATTAATATTATCATTATTACTATTATTATTATTATTATTATTATATTATCCTTATTGTTACTATTATTATCATTATTATTACTATTATTATCATTATCATTATTATTCTTTTATCATCATTTCTTATCATTATTTTTATTATTCTTATTATCATCATCATTATTATTATTATCATTATCATTATCATTATCTTTACTATCATCATTATCTTTGTTATTGTTGCTGTTAGGTTTGTCATTATTATTATCATCATTACTATCATTATTTTTAACATATCATCATTATCAATAATAGTATCATTATTGTTGTTATATTTCTTATTATTACTATTATTATCATTGTTGCTGTTGTTGTTATCATTATCATTATTATTAATGTTATTATTATTATTTTTATTACTTTTATTATTATCATTAATATCATTATCATTATCATTTTTATCATAATTATTAGTGTTATCAGCTTTATCATTGTTATCATTATCATTATAATAACAGTAATGATAATAAAATCAGTAAATATAATAATGAGTTATAATACTAAAATAATAATAATAATAAAAATAATAAAAATAATGATAATAAAAATAATAATAATAATAATAATAATAATAATAATAATTTTGATAAAAGCAAAGGTTGATAGTAATAATATAGATATTATGTTATCACGAATATCACCATTATTATTATAATTGTCATTACCATTATTATAATCATCGTTATTGCTAATGCTATTGTTACTATCATATTACTGTTAATGATCGTGTCCCCATCATTAACAATAATAATGATAATAAACTTCCATATATTCTCTTCTCAAAACATTTTTTTCGATGTATAGCTGAATGCTCTCTTAAATTCATTGAAAATTTCAGTTTGTACCCACTTAAAATAATACTAATAGAGATTTATTATTATTATATACCGTTACTGTAAAATGTTCGTATTAATGTCACTACTCCCTCAGTTACAGCTATAGGAACTTTCTTGAGATATATTTATAATAATAAAAATAATAATAATAATAATAATAATGTTAATAATAAATGATAATAATAATGATAATAATAATAATAATGATAATAATAAAGATCATAATAATGTTAATAATAAACATAATAATAATAAATTACATGGGATAACACGCTCTTCAGGTAGCCAGCAATAAACTGCACACAAATAAAGCGGAGGGCCGACAGCAAAGACATGAATGAAACAGGTTTTTACTCCGCGACATCCGATTCGCTTCCCCACAATGCCTTCTGAGAACCCTCCTTTCTCGAGCCATATATAAGACCGACACACCAGGTTCCCGTATCAGTCTGCCTCCAAATACTCTCTCGCACACTAAGGTCACCCATCATATCGTCCTGACATAGCAACATGGCCGCCTACGCTGTCGCCCCCATCGTCTACCAGCTGCAGGAAGGTCTTCGCAACGTCGACCTCAGGAGCTTCGTCAACTCCTTCGACCTGAAGGGCTTGGTCAACAAGCTGGACATCCAGACGGTGGGCCTGGTGGCGCTGGTAGCTGTGGCCGCCGTGTTCTTGTTGGATCTGTTCACCAAGAGCTACGCCCCCTTCGGCAGGAGTCTGGTGTCCTCTGCCGCCCACGCCTGGGATAAAGCTGACCAGTGGGGCCTCAGCGAAAGTGTCCGTGGAAAGTGAGTACTGATATTGCGTCGAACGTTGCACTCCTGCATGTCTATTTCATTATCTTAATCAGTAATAATCAATATATGACAGATATCAAATCTGTCATATATACACATATCCTTTATAAGTCATCACATTTCATAAATTCGTTGGTAGTGACAACTATATGTTTTAGGTATCAGCAAGGGGATATTCATTTGGACTTTGTATTTCAATTTCTCAATACTCCGACACAGCCGTTCCCTGGAGCCCGTGAAGAATGTCCTGGACGCCCTGGCGGAGGCGGTGAAGAAGTGGGAGGCGCAGGAGGAAGGCGTCGTCAGGCATCGCCCTTCTGGTTTTCACTGGGAATGAAGAAATTTTTACCTGTCATAGCTGTCATGATCCCTTGAAAACATTTGAATGAGTACAAAGTTTGCTTGCAGGCAAGCACTATGTATTTATTAAATATATATTTATTATAAACCATTCTTAGTTATTTTCAAAGTTCTTACTTATTTTTTATAGAAAGAAAATACAAATAAAAAATACTAAAGCCAGCTTTGGTATCTATTAATCGACCTTTATTGTCAATTTACACTCGATAAAGCACAAAGTTCTTAATGATTTTTTTATAGAATGAAAAATACAAATAAAAAATACTAAAGCCAGCTTTGCCAAAATGTTCGTTCGCGAACAGGCCTCAACACGTACAAATTCGTAGTTTATGTACGTGCCAATATATTGCCAACCTTGCCCCCCCCCCCTACGAAAAATCTATCTATCTTTCTATAAATATAAATATATATACACATATATATACATTTGTGTGCATGTGTGTGAATATATATATATACATATGTATATTAAAAGGTATCAAACATTCACAGATATGAATATTTCTTCGTGCTAGCAAGTAAATACCAGGTATTTACTGCATTTCACTGGATTAAGAGGCAGGTAAATAGAGAACACATAGAGAACACAAAGGAATGAAGCAGGTTTTCTACAACTTGGGCAGACTTTGTAGTAGCCGAATAAAATCTTGATCTTGGGAAATACGATTGAAAGCTCAACGGAATCCCGGGAAAGGTTGGCCTTCTCTTGTGTCTGTGTTTGGCCGAATGGAAAGGGATTCAGGAAGGAGACCCGGATGTTGGACAGGAACTTTTGTGGGAACCTCCTCTCCGCTTTTTTTTTTTTTTCATAGAATGGCTTTACACGAATATTTTGTCCTCGTTTCTATGTTTTGATCTTATAATCTGTCTATCTATTAATCGACCTTTATTATTAATATACACTCGATAAAGCACAAACTTCAATGTACAGGCGCGTGGTTACTAGGCTTCCCGATGAAAGCAAAAGTGAGTCTCGTGACGTCATAGTTACGTCAAGAAGAACACAGTTGCCAGATACTAGTTATCCTGTTCAATATGCTCCATCCTGAACAAACCTTCTTGATTTCGTGCTGATTTGACTTCTTAAGCGAGAGTCACTCATTCATAAAGAGAACCAGATATGTGATCACGTGATCTTGTGATAGAACAAGCACAGACACACATCTCTCTATATATACTAGTTACCTTTGTACGGATTCTATGGTATAAGACTTTCCACGTTCGGTTTAATGGGTATTTCGGGTTTGTGAGGAGGATGCGACTAATGAATGAAATATCTCTCACCTTAAATATGGTCATTGTCATTATTATTATCATTCTGATAATTATTCTTGCTATTAACATTATTATTAATGTCACTGACAGCATCATTATCTATACCATTATCATTTTTTTTTCTGGGATTATTATCATTATTGTCATTGTTATTATTATCACATAATTATCATTATTATTACTTATTATTATTGTTTTTGTTGTTACGATAACAACAATAATAATGATAACAATATTAATTAAAATAGAATTGTTGCTTGTATGATTATTGTTATTGTTATTATAACTATTATAATTATCATTATTATTATTATTATTATTATTACTTACTAGTGTTAGTGTCTCAATTATTGTTATTAATATTATTATTATCAATATTATTATTATTATTATATTATCATTATTATTACTATTATTATCATTATTATTACTATTATTATCATTATTATTATTATATTGTTATTTTTATCATCATTTCTTATCATTATTTTCATTATTATTATTATCATTATCATTTATTATTATTATTATTGTCATTATCATTATCTTTATTATCATCATTATCTTTGTTGTTGTTGCTGTTAGGATTGTCATTATTATTATCATCATTACTATCATTATTTTTATCACATCATCATTATCATTAATAGTATCATTATTGTTGTTATATTTTTTATTATTACTATTATTATCATTGTTGTTGCTGTTGTTGTTATCATTATCATTATTATTAATGTTATTATTAATATTATTATCATTACTACTTTTATTATTATTATTAATATTATTGTTATCATTATCATTTTTATCATAATTATTAGTGTTATCAACTTTATCATTGTTATCATTATCATTATAATAACAGTAATGATAATAAAATCAGTAAATATAACAATAATAAAAATAATAATAATAAAAATGATAGTAATAATAATAATAATGATAATAATAATAATAATAATAATAATAATTTTGATAAAAGCAAAGGTTGATAGTAATAAAATAGATATTATGTTATCACGATTGTCACCATTATTATTATAATTGTCATTACCATCATTATAATCATCGTTATTGCTAATGCTGTTGTTACTATCATGTTAATGCTCGTGTCATCATCATTAACAATAATAATGATAATAAACTTCCATATATTTTCTTCTCAAAACTTTTTTTCGATATATAGCTGAATGCTCTCTTAAATTCATTGAAAATTTCAGTTTGTACCCACTTCAAATAATATTAATAGAGATTTATTATTATTATATACCGTTACTGTAAAATGTTCGTATTAATGTCACTACTCCCTCAGTTACAGCTGTAGGAAATTTCTTGAGATATATTTATAATAATGAAAATAATAATAATAATAACAATAATGTTAATAATGGATAATAATAATAATAATAATAATAAAAATAATAATGATAATAATAATAATAAAGATAATAACAATAATGTTAATAATAAACGTAATAATAATAAATCACATGGGATAACATGCTCTTCAGGTAGCCAGCAATAATGAGCACACAAATAAAGCGGAGGGCAGACAGGGAAGGCATGAATGAAACAGGTTTTTACTCCGCGACATCCGGTTCGCTTCCTCACAACACATTCTTAGAAGCTTCCTTTCTCGAGCCATATATAAAACCGCCACACCAGGTTCCCGTATCAGTCTACCTCCAAGCTCTCTCCCGCACACCAAGGTCTCCCATCATATCGTCCTGACGCAGCAACATGGCCGCCAACGCTGTCGCCCCCATCGTCTACCAGCTGCAGGAAGGTCTTCGCAACGTCGACCTCAGGAGCTTCGTCAACTCCTTCGACCTGAAGGGCTTGGTCAACAAGCTGGACATCCAGACGGTGGGCTTGGTGGCGCTGGTGGCTGTGGCCGCCGTGTTCCTGTTGGATCTGTTCACCAAGAGCTACGCCCCCTTCGGCAGGAGTCTGGTGTCCTCTGCCGCCCACGCCTGGGATAAAGCTGACCAGTGGGGCCTCAGCGAAAGTGTCCGTGGAAAGTGAGTACTGATATTGCGTCGAACGTTGCACTGCTGCATGTCTATTTCTTTATCTTAATCAGTAATGTTTGATATCTGTCATATATACACAAATCCTTTATAAGTCATCAAGTTTCATAAATTCGTTGGTAGTGACAACTATATGTTTTAGGTATCAGCAAAGGGATATTCCTTTGGACTTTGTATTTCAATTTCTCAATACTCCGACACAGCCGTTCCCTGGAGCCCGTGAAGAATGTCCTGGACGCCCTGGCGGAGGCGGTGAAGAAGTGGGAGGCGCAGGAGGAAGGCGTCGTTAGGCATCGCCCTTCTGGTTTTCACTGGGAATGAAGAAATTTTTACCTGTCATAGCTGTCATGATCCCTTGAAAACATTTGAATGAGTACAAAGTTTGCTTGCAGGCAAGCATTATGTATTTATTAAATATATATTTATTATAAACCATTCTTAGTCGTTTTTTTCAAAGTTCTTAATGATTTTTTTTATAGAAAGAAAAATACAAATAAAAAATACAAAAGCCAGCTTTGCCAAAATGTTCGTTCGCGAACAGACCTCAACACGTACATATACGTAGTATATGTACGTGTCAATATATTGTATAAATGCGTATAGACCAGCAATTACCATTAAATAATAGCAATGGTATTTGCGATGGTTAATGGTTAATAAATAAATAAATGTGCTATACATCAAGTTATATAACACTTTGATGATCACAATAACAATGTTAAAAACTATTGTGTATATATAACTTAATTTCATTGTAGTAAATATTTGGCAAATATAATATATTTCTAGCCACGCAAAAATGTTATATACCACAGTGAATAAAAACAAATGAAAATTAAATAATGAAAGAAAAACGTTTCCCTTTAATAAAGCAATAGCGTCATTTCAGCTTTTTAGTGAACTAATATTCTGGAAAATTAGCTAGGGACCCTCTTTAAGTTATAACCAGACCTAAATAGGCATGATTTAGTTTTTAAAAAGTTTAAAATTGTGGCCCTTGGTTGAAGGAGGGGGGGGGGGTAAGCCAGACCTCGAAGGTGGTAAATATAGTCTTGGGTTGGGGGGGGGGGTCAATTTGCATCACCAAGCCCCCCCCCCCTCCCTCCCAATGACGCCCCTATAACCAGGTAATGTCATGCACACATTTCGCAGGTAAACACACGTGGATAGATAGGTAAATGCAGAACACGTAAAGAAGACTATAATAAAGCATGTTTTCCGTGCCTATGGCTGATTTTGTAGGAAATATATACCAATTAAACGGTGATATATTTTCTCAAACCTTTGAACCAAATAAATTGCAAACTTGGGAAACATGTAAAAGATTCTTTCCTGACACTCAAAACAGTTGATAATATTTTCTTTTTTCTTTTTTTAATAATGGGCGATCCGGGAACGAGACCATAATGGTGTAGTGGGATTTTTGTGGAAAATTGTATTACCGCTGTATTTAAAAAGGATTTACACGATTCTTTATCATCCTTCCCCTTTCTATATTTTAATTTTGTGCATACTCATTGACCATTTATCTATTAGTCTACCCTTTTCTCCGAAATACTATACAGTTCCCTTGCATATATAGACTTCCTGAAGAAAGTAAAACTGACTTTCATGACGTCATAGTTACGTCAAGAAGAATGCAGTTGCAAGTTGTTAATTTTCCTGATTAACGCACTCTATTCTGAACAAATACCTACGGTTTCTGTGTTGACCGGAACAACCGAAGGAATTCTCGAGTGGAAATAACTCATTCGCAACAATAAACTGATACATGATCAGGTGTGATTGTGATTGGGATAGTAATCATACTCCTGAATCAGTGTCTCCCTTTCAACCTCTACGTACTCTCCGGTTTTAAAGGTTGTATATTAAATAATCATTCCTGTTTGATTAAGAGGGAACATGCAGCTTACAAGAAGGGAGGGTCATGTTTATAAATGGAGGCTGTTACTCTACAACATCCGGTTGCATAGCTTTGAGGTTTTCGCAGGATCTTTTATTCTTTCACTCTTATTTTCATTATAATCACAAATAGTGGTCATTATATGCATTAAATGGTAAATAGAAAAAAATGGGAATGCACCGAATCCAGAATATGCTTACTGGAAAACATTTATATCCATTCTCAAATGTCTTTTTATGTTACACTTTACAATTTTTTTTCTAAGCAAGGAACCATTAAGGTATCATACCATAGACCCGCTCCCCATTGGTGCATTACAATGGCACAGTGAATGATAGTAAGCTGAGTGTTTTTGTACCTTTGGTAAATAAGGGGACGGCTTGAGATTGGAGTCAAATGCTCATCAACTAATCATGAACAATGAAACAAATCAGTTTATGTTACCTAAAAAGAAAAAAAAAATCAAGTTAACGTATGAGGTGTAAAAGATCCATTTAGGTGTATAATCGAACCCATTCAAGAATACTAGACTGAACTCGATGAAAAAACTATACCAAACCTACTAAAATACCACACCATGTAGCATTAATCGTGATTTAATTGTGGTTTATATTTATACCGTAAATATACTTATTAATGCCGCAGACCTTTGTTTACAACTATATGAGAAGGCTTCAGATATGAATTGTTAAAAATAGGTAGGCATGAGATGATAGGGCATTTAGCCAATTAAAAATAAAAAAAAAGTAACTGGGCAAACAAAGCGGAGACCAGATAGAGAAGACATGAATGAAACCGGTTTTTACTCCGCGACATCCGGTTCGCTTCCTCACAACACCTTCTAAGAACCTTCCTTTCTCGACTCATATATAAGACCGCCACACCAGGTTCCCGTATCAGTCTGCCTCCCACCTCTCTCCCGCACACCAAGGTCTCCCATCATATCGTCCTGACGCAGCAACATGGCCGCCAACGCTGTCGCCCCCATCGTCTACCAGCTGCAGGAAGGTCTTCGCAACGTCGACCTCAGGAGCTTCGTCAACTCCTTCGACCTGAAGGGCTTGGTCAACAAGCTGGACATCCAGACGGTGGGCCTGGTGGCGCTGCTGGCTGTGGCCGCCGTGTTCCTGTTGGATCTGTTCACCAAGAGCTACGCCCCCTTCGGCAGGAGTCTGCTGTCCTCTGCCGCCCACGCCTGGGATAAAGCTGACCAGTGGGGCCTCAGCGAAAGTGTCCGTGGAAGGTGAGAACTAATAATGTCGCCGAACGTTGCTGCTGCATGTCTTTTTCATTATCTTGATCGGTAACGTTTGATATCTATCAAGTATACACAAAACCTTAGTAAAGCATCACAGTTCACAAATTCGTTGCTATTGACAACTATATGTTTTAGTTAATATTAAATGGGCATTCCTTTGTGTTTTAACTTGTCAATACTCCGACACAGCCGTTCCCTGGAGCCCGTGAAGAATGTCCTGGACGCCCTGGCGGAGGCGGTGAAGAAGTGGGAGGCGCAGGAGGAAGGCGTCGTCAGGCATCGCCCTTCTGGTTTTCACTGGGAATGAAGAAACCTTTACCTGTGATAGCTGCCATGATCCCTTGAAAACATTTGAATAAGTACAAAATTTGCTTGCAGGCAAGCACAGTGTATTTATTAAATAAATATTTATTTTAAACTGTTCTTAGTTTTTCCTCACAGTTCTTAATGACTTTTTATAAACACAATTTACCTGAAAAAAATACAAATCAAAACTAACAGCCACTTTTGCCAAAATAGTAGTTCACGAACATGCCTCCAAATATACATATATATATACATAGATAGATATGATAAAAAAGACGATGATAACCATAGAACAATAGAAATGACCTTGACGATGATGAAGTATAAAACTATTATTATATACCAACACTCCACTATTGTAAATATTCAGCAAATATATTTCACCATCATTTTTGCCGTTGTATTTATAATAACTGAATTTAAAACGACGTTGGCTTTAATGATACACTCCTTTCTCTTATGCGCAAAGTTACGTCATTGAGTACAGTCCGATCTTAGTCACCTAGACCTAATGCTCCAATAGGGGAACCATTTAGTTTTGGAATGTGTGTACCTATAATGAATTATCCATATATAGATTACTAATATTACAATAATCATATCGATTCATAAAGCTATATCTGGGTTGAATAAATGTTATAAAAATAATACATATCACTCATTCACATATACGGACAATTTGCCTGCTACGAAGTTTATATACCGGAATCACGGTAAACATTTCGCTGGTAAACATACGTAGATTGAAAGGTAAATAATGCTGATTGTCTAGCAAATATATACCATTTAAACTGAAATATCTCCTCCAACTTTTGGACCAAATAAATCTCTAAAAGATATCCTGATAATCGAAATAGTTTTTTTTCAAGAATGAAAAGCGATCCAGGAATAAGACCCGGATGATGCAGAGGAATTTTTGTGGAAACTTTCTTTCCGCTGTATTTAAAAAGGATTTACACGTTTCTTTATCATATTTCTCCTTTCTGTATATACATACATGCATTTTTTTTGCGTACCTGTAGGACATTTATCTATTGATATACCCTTTTCTCCTAAATGTAATTGCTAAAGTACAATTCCTTGAAAATACAGACTTCCTGAAGAAAGTGAAACTAACTTTCATGACGTCATAGTTACACCGAGAAGAATACTATTGCCAGCTGATTATATTCCTGCTTAACATGCTCTATCCTCTACAAATATCTACGGTTCCTGCGTTGACCGGAACTACCAAAGGAATTCGCAAGTGGGAATCACTCATTCGCAACAGTAAACAGATACATGACCACGTGTGACTGATTATCATAGTAATCACGCTCAGGAATCACGCTTTGAAACACTATGTTCTCTCCGGTTTTAGAGATTTCATGTTATCTAATCATGCACATTTGGTTATGTAAGGGGGAGTTCGTCATATTTATGAATGGAGGTTGTATAGCCTCGATGCTTTCGTAAAATCTTTTATTCTTGCATTCTGTTTTCATTATAATCACAGATAATGGTCGTAGCAGTTTAGAAGCGCTATTATTATCACATCCTCAATAGCATTATTATTACATTTAAGTGGTAATGATAAATATAAAAACGTGGGAATGTACGGCATCTTTTTTCAAATGCTGCTTACTATTTATGATTTTTTTTAACCATTTAGGCACCATAGCATAGACCCGTTCCGCACTGGTGCATTAGAATAGCACAGTGTATGATAGTAAGCTGAGTTTTTTGTGCCTTTGGGGCGGCTTGATATGGGAGTCAAATACTGATCAACTAATGAACAATGAACCAAATTAGTTTATGCAACCGGAAAAAAAAATCTGTGTAAAATGACCAAAAATCTGCATTTTTCTTCAAGTTAAAGAATCAGAAGCAGATCTATTTTGGTGCATGATCGAACCCGTTCAAGAATACTAGACTGAACTCTGTGAGAAAAAACTATACTAAACCCATTAAAATACTATTACTCGTGGCTT